CCCCACCCCAGCTCACTCTCCGTGCCCGCTTCCAGGAGCAGGGCCGGGGGACAAGGGCAGTGGTGCCCCTCTGTGGGCCACATATGCGCCGCCTGGGCTCGGGGAAGTGGGGGAAGGTGGTTGGCACAGGGCGGCCAGCACCGCAGCCGCCACTGCCGTGCCCTGCGCTGCTTTCCCTCATCCCCCATCCACGTGTTGCTGGTTAGGGGAGAACTCCTGCAGCGAGCTGGGGTTTGCATGTGGTGGCCGCCACCGCAGCTACTGCGTCACTTGCCTGTGGAGCCAGACATGTGACCAGCTGCAGGAAAGCAGCACGGCAGCAGCAACTGCCACATCAGAACCACCCCTCCCCCCGGCTGGGCAGCACGTGTACGGCCTACAGAGGGGCACTGCTGCCCTCACCCCCACCCCAGCCCTGAAAGTGGGCTGAAGGGGGGGGGGGGGGCCCCGGGGCCCCCCCCCCCCCCCTTCCCCCCCTTTTCGGGGGGGGGGGGGGCCCCGGGGCCCCCCCCCCCCCCCTTCCCCCCCTTTTCGGGGGGGGGGGGGGCCCCGGGGCCCCCCCCCCCCCCCTTCCCCCCCTTTTCGGGGGGGGGGGGGGCCCCGGGGCCCCCCCCCCCCCCCTTCCCCCCCTTTTCGGGGGGGGGGGGGGCAGGGAGGCACTGTGGTGTGCCACGTGGCCCTCCCCCTCCCCTGGGAAAGAAGAAAAGTATGGGAAGGCGCTGAGGGAGACGTTGCAGCTGCACCCCTAAACGTGCTCCGTCCCCACCCGCCTGCCCACCTGGGCTGAGGGAGGGGGAGGTGTTGGTGAAGCCCCACATGGAGTGCCTGCCTGGCCGGCAGCACATGGAAGTGGCGTGGTGCGGTATCGGCCCTTAAGGGAAGCCGCACATGGAGGTGCCAAGCCCAGTTGGGCCTACAGCCGGCCAGGCACTCCATATCTTTTACCAACACCTCAGCCCCCAGCCAGCTCCCCGCACCCAGCTTCCCCCCACTTACCTAACTTTACAGGAAGGAAAGTGAACCTGAAGCAAGCCTTGGGACTGACTAAGAGCCTCAGGCCCTGCCTTTCCCCCTCCGGGCAGGCCTGGGGGTTTCCCACCCATTTTGTAATCAGCTCCTGCAGGCTGGAACTCTGCAGAGCTCTTTGCAAAGGTGGGAAATCCAGGGGTTTCTCTGCTAAAAGGTAAAATCCACATTTTCTCTGATAAAAATGGGAAATCCGTGGTTTTCTCCTTTTTCCACGGGAAATGGAAAACCAGGATCCCTGCTGATCAGTCTTCCTGCATTTTCTTCATTGGCAGAGTTTGCGTAACTTTTTCATATAAGCATGTAGCAGCCTTACTGTGCCTAATGCAGAGTAACACCCGCTGAGAACTCTAATACACATGAGAATCCCTGAACCTCTATGCTGAAACAAAAAGGATATTAAAAGTATGGAATCAATACCAGAGTGGGTTCTCATGTGCCTCTTCAGTTTGTAAGTATCTCTGCTGGCATAGCTGCACAAGCTACACTGGAATGGACGCTCTCCAGTATGAGAGCGAATGTGGCGTTTCAACTTGCTGACCTGAAAGCCAAGAATGGAGCTAGTGTTAGTTTGGCAAGTCAAAGTTTTAAGACAATACAAGCCAAGAAATTCAGCAATTCACACAAACGATCAAAACCCTTCACATGCAACCTGAAGTACTCTGTTGGCTTAAAGAGTTTGGATAGACAAACTCTTGAACTGGTATAAAAAGGTTTATATGATAATTTAAGATTCTACTGAGATAATCATGGACAGATATGCAGTTAATACCCCAGTCATACCAGCTTAGAGCTCATGCAGTCAGTGACTAGTATGGCACCTCACTGCTAGTCACTGGGGGGAGAAGACCAGGAGCCCAGTGTTGCTTGTGGCTCAGCTTTGAGACTTCCTATGATAGGATTTGCCATACCTTCTAGGAGTCTGAGTCCAAAGGACCCAGTTTCAGGTCTTCACTTTTGCTAGTCACAAACCACGCAGGAAGATGGCACTGAGGATTTCTCAGTGCAAAAGTACAAGAATAGAGGTCTACCACCCCAAGCTCCTGAAGATAGAGGCCAAACACCTCTGAATTCTAGCAATATTCATGGCATTATGATGCTGAACCTGCAATTATAGGATGGTTCTTGCCTACATGATTGGCCTGCTGTGAAGTGGTCTTCCAGAACACTGACAGGCAAGTTAAGTGACTGAAGTTTTAAGAAGGCAAACAGTGGAACTTTGTGGCAAGCTGTCAGCAGGTTACTGAGTTGGTAGATGATGAAGAAATCCAGAACAGCTTGTTTTGGGGCACCTGCAAGCTGTCTACAACCAGTTCTGGATATAGGAGAAAAGTACTGACTGCTGGGAGAGAGTAAGTGCTGCAGATGCAAGATAAGCAGCAAGGGTGTCATGCATGGATGATCCAATGCTGCAATCTTCCATAATTCCAGTCATGCCTCCCTGATAAGGTGGGGAGAAGCTCTCACTGTTATTTCCAGCAAAATAAATGGAATGGCTAACCCCTATCCCCAACAGCCCCCTCCTCCCCTTCCTTTCTATGGATGATAAAGCCTCACACAGAGCATCTATACCTCCAGAAAAAAAAAAAAATTTCAATCACCGTAGCAACTGCTGACTAAATGTGCCCTTGGCCACCTCAAGGCAAGGTGGTGAGTATTCACTATTAGGTAGGATGCCTGAAAGCATCCAAACTGATGTTATGTATGAACCACCGCTCCACACAGCCCTGGGGGGAGGCCTGGCAGGCATGTCTCCCAGATTTGTCCACAGAGCAGAGGTGGGCTGCCCACTGCAACCATGTACCCTGCTGCTTTTGCCTGGGGAGCTGCACACCACCCATACTGTGCCTCCTACTCATCCAGCATTGCACAGCTCCTGGGGCAAAGGCAGCAGAGCTCCAGCTTGTAGTGGGCAGCCAGTCTCCGCCCTGCACACAAATCTGGGGCGGGATATGCCCTCCAGACCCTCCCTGCTGGGATGAGCCACCTGCAGCTCCAACCCACTCCATCCCTCACCATGAGGTTTGACATCCCACCAGACTTACCTGTGTGCGTGTGTGTCCTGCCCCTGGAATCCAAGAAGCCTGGGCTGCCCACTGGCTCCTCTGCACTGCCATCATTGCCCTGCCGGAGATGCTGATGACGGCAGTGAAGAGGAGCCTGGCCACAGGCTCCAAAACCATGTGCACAATTAATGTGTTAGAAAAATTAGCACGGTAATTGGTTTTTGTGTTAATTTCACGTTAACAGTGATTACTTGACAGCCCTAATAATAATTATCACTCAGGTTGGCAGCAGAAGTTCATTCTTAAGGAACAGGCTGACAAAACCCTGGGGGTGGAGATACTCTGAGATTTAAGTGAAGTGCATTTAACCCCTCCCCTCCACTGGAAGTCAGCAAATTAAATCTTGAAAAGTTATTTTTAAATAAAAGCCAATACTGGGTCCCCAGAAGAACATAGATTTCACAGATATTCATAGATTTTTAGGGTTGGAAGGGACCTCAGTAAATCAGAATCCGACCCCCTGCCCTGGGTAGAAAAGAGTGTCGGGGTCAGATGACCCCAGCTAGGTGCTTATCTAGTCTCCTCTTAAAGACCTCCACCTCCCTTGGAATCCCATTCCAGATTTTGGCAACCCGCACCATAAAGAAATTTTTCCTAATGTCTAATCTAAATCTAAACAGTTGGAAAGTTCTAGCCTGTGCGCGCAAATTCTAGAACCAGGTCCTCGTTAACTGAAAAATACCAACCTGATTTTAAGGACAGAGTGTTTTTTAAAAAAAAGTTTCTACCCAGGGCGAAGTTTATGGACAAGGCATGACCTCCTGAAAATAACAAGTTTATAATGGTAATGGTAACAATAACAGAGTTTTTCTACCTGCAACACGAAAGATTGCTTATGTTGTTAAACCCAAACTTACCTCCACACTAGCATAGTCACACATTGAACATTTGAATGGTTTCTCATGAGTGTGTTTGTAACGACGATGCCGAACCAACTCTCCACTCGTCACAAAGGCCATGTCGCAGTCTGGGCACTTGTGAGGACGAGTACCTAAACATTTGTTGCAAGACAGGAAGATACTGAAAGTTAGTGAGGGGGGAAAAAAGTACATGCTAGCTTTGCTCATTATAAACTGAGAATTGGGGCTTCATATTTTGGAAAAAAATTGAGAGAGACTATAGCAAAAATAGGCTACATGAGAATTTATTACATCTTCTACAGTAGTTGAACAGTCATTTACAAAGACTGCGTATGTAAAGAAACGAGGGATAAGGAAAAGTTTCATCTACTTAATCGCATTGCCAGGGATGGGACAGGAACAAGAGGCACGCTTTATTCTGGTTGCTGGTTCAATTAACTACCTACTGCCCTTCTACAGGTAAAGTTGTTATACTAAAAGGAAGTACCAAATATCTTTTTAAAACATTTTATTACTCTCCCCACCCTGCACTTCTCCTTGAGTATCTCTGGCCTCTGGTCCGTTTGTTCTGCTTTGGTCGCTTGTCCTTCCTGCCTGCAAAGAGCAGCAGCATCACCAGATAATAACTCATCCCAAGCCATAAACTTGAACCATCTCCCACAGAAATTACGGGGAGCTTTCCGTTAGCTTCAATACAAGTTTGCTATAAAACTGACTAAGGTCCTATTGTTGTGTACTGGCCCAATATAGCAAAAAAGCAAATCTGATTTGGTTCATATCACAAACAAACAGCATTATGTAACTCCTTTCCTACAGGGTGATCCCACAGGAGCCTACAGCATTCTTATTTTCATACAGAAAGCAGGACTGTAACTCTAAAAATCTCCAAAAACAATGTTATCAGTGCATACAGTACCTGTGTGAGTGTTGAGGTGGTTCCTCAGCAACGTGACTGTCCGGAAAGCTCTGCCACAGAGATGGCACTTATGTGGCCTTTCATCAGTGTGGCTTTTCATGTGCCGGTCCAAGTTGGAACGACGTGGACAGGTATAACTGCACAGCTCGCACTGGAATGTCTTTTTTACACCTGACCACAAAACAAATCATCTTTAGCTACCTACCTGCTCCACAGCATTACATAACTTAAGTTCCAAAAATCTTTAATTTCCTTATCATCACTTAAAAGACAGCAGAAACTTTAATAACTAAAACTAATCAAGATTCTGATTCGCCATACAGAGTATTAAACTGTTATCTTCGAATTTTAATTGGTATATCAGTAATCAACTTCTTCCTCCACGCTATTCACAGGATAAAATGAGTAGTTCTATAATTTAAAAAAATATTTATATTTATAAACACAAAACAAAGATGTATTCTTCTGATGTCAAATCATTTGCCAAAGAGAAAAAATATATCTTGAATTTTATTTTCTGATATAAAAATAAAATCTTGAAAGCTAATGTATTATTCAGGGAAATGTATAAAAATTATATAATCTTTCCTATGTTAGCTTTATTTGGGAACAACAATGGTAAAGTACCAGACTCCCAGCTATTTTGCAGTAGGGCTACAAAAGTGTTTCTAGTAAACACTTTTGTTTAAAGTAAGTAAAGCCCTTATTTCCAAAGGAGTTTAATAACACATTTGACTTCCTTTTTTCAGACCTACTGTATGCACCTTTCTTGATATCTATATTGTAAAAGGACTAGGGAAAGAATAGCCACATACCTTTCTTTTTTATTTTTGTTGGTTTAGGGGGCTTCATGTTGCCTACCACCTTTTCTGCATTGACCTCAGACAGCAAACCCTCTTGCTGCTCCTCTTCAAAATCGTACACAGACACATCCACATCTTTGCCTTCCTCAGTATAACGAAGCTTGCTCTTTTTGGTTTTCTTTGTTTTTTTGGCTGGTGGCTGATAGTCTGGATCTTTCTGCCAATTGGGATCTTCCTGTGGCTGAAGTTCTCCTTGCTCCAGTGTCTCCACCTCACCATTTGCACCTACTTTCACTACCTGGAAACCTTCTGGTAAAGGGAGCGTGTGACAGATCATAGGCTCTCCCTCTTGTAGGCCTCCTTTTGAAACCTCATTTTCATACGCTCCCTGAAGTTCTTCCACAGAAGTGGTGGCAACTGGTACAGTCACTGGAACAGGTACTTGGACAAGCTGAAGCTCACCAATGTTTATAGGCTGTTCTTCCATATTAACAACCTGAAGTGTTATTATCTGTGTGTCATCCACAGTAGCCTCTGTTTCCTGAGGCACAGTGCCTTCCATTACTTCAGTCTTCATTTGAAGGAGTGTTGGATCCAGCTGTTCCATCATCACCATCTGCACACCACTACTGACATCCTGCACTACTTCACCCCCATCTGCTTGGTTAGGTGGGATATGACAAACATCCTCCTCCTGTCCACCTTCACGGCGTCTTTGATAGGTTTTTCTTTCTTTTCCCTTAATGAAAGTTTCAGACTCCTCCACAATAGCCTCAACTGCCTCACCTTCCATTTCACCTTCCTCCTGCAGAAACAAAAAAAGTATTTACAGGAACTACTTAGTGACCATGAAAAGTAGAAAACTGATAGGCTAGATGATCAAATAGAAGGCAAGCGGCTAGGCAAAAGTGACACATTCACTAATGGCCAAACACAGAAACCAAACAAAATTTTATAATTTAGGTTATCTTGATTTCATGTTACTAGCATGGTTTTAAAATGTAAAGCAATTGAGCCAAAACTGAAATGTGCACATTTTTGTACCAACTTCACTAACAGAAGTTCTTTCTCTTACAATCTGCAAATTCCACAGGCAGGATATGCATTGGTATTATTCACTATTTATAAATTATTGCTCATGTAGTTCCTTAGTCAACATAGCTTTGAGTAATCTCATAGTAAGCTGGACCATATTTTTTAGAAGACATCAAAATAAAGTAATTATATGTTTGTACCCAGTTTGTTATGCAGCACTGTATATATTTGGAAAGTTTCACCTGTCCCTAAAATTACAAAAGTTTAAAAGTTTCTATAGATTTGGAGAAAGTGTAAACTGGTTAAGAATTATAGGCAACTAAAAGTTACTCAAAATGATGAGTAACCCAAATCTGGTTTATTTCATGTTTCTGTGTCTCCCTCTAGCTCACAAAACTTAAATACTTTCCAAACAGATGTCATTAAAAACACTTACATGGCATTTTAAATTAAATATGAAAGATTAAAATAAAATTCATTTAATTATATTTGCTGTGGATATTCTGGCACCCTATCCTGCTCCTATTCATGCAAAAAATGCTTTAGGATGTTGACTTCAGTGGAATGCAAATCACATATGTTTGAGCCTGTTGCCCTCTACTGGCTGAATGCTGCTTAGCAAGAACAAAAATATAATTTGGGGTGTTACACATCTGGCCCACAGGAATTCTCACAGTCCAAAAGACCCACCTCTGGGTCTGGCCCACTGGCCCTGCTGAAAGCATTTCCAGCCCACCACCAAGGGAGCTGTGATGAAAGAAGCTAAGTGGGCTAAATCAGCCTCTAAAGTGAAAAGGGTATATAAATGTCCTACACAGAGATCTATTCACAGTAACATGCACACACTGAGCCCCACCAAAGTGTTCCCAACAAGAACTTGCAGGCTAGAACTTGGCTCTCTTAGCTTCCTTCATTGGTGAGTTATGGAAAACAGCTATGGGCACTGGACTCTGTCAAGGACAGAAACAGTAAGGTTTATGAAATCACCATTATTTGGAAAAAAGAAACTACTGCCCCCTAACAGCACACAGTAAAAGGCACAGTGAGAAAAACATTTTCCTCATCCACCTCTGAACCAGAGAGGCTTCCTTTAGAAAAATTCATGTAAACTACAAAATCAGACAAATTGACAACTCTTCCTGCATTTCCTGCTGAAACTCCCCTTTCCCTTTTGGTAGAATACACAGAAGTCCATTTTACTGCTGGGGCAACAAACCACTAAATTCAAGTGACTTGTTGGAGCTAAACTGTTCTCAGTGGTGGTGGATGATAGAACAAGGAGCAGTGGTCTCAAGTTGCAGCAAGGGAAGTTTAGGTTGGGTATTAGGAAAAATTCTCTCACTAGGAGGGTAGTAAACCACTAGAACAGTTTACCCATGGAGGTGGTAGAATATCCATCCTTGGAGGTTTTTAAAACCTGGCTAGACAACGCCTTGGCTGGGATGATCTAGTTGGGGATGATCCTGCTTGGAGCAGGTGGCGGGACTAGATGAATACCTGAGGTCCTTTCCAACCCTAATTTTCTATGATTTTATGATTCTAATTTCATATAAAGAACTAACCTTATAAAGGCTGGAACAATTTTACTACACTTACCACTGCAGAATCATGGAGAGGTATTATTTACATAGTAGCAGATGATAAGGCATGCTTCAGTATTGAAAGAATCCTAAATCATAGAAATTAAGGGATGGAAAGATCATTGAGTGCCCCCCCAAGTCTCCTCTTGAAGACTTCCAAGGTTGGGGACTGTACCACCTCCTTGGGAGGTCTATTCCAGATTCTGGTCACCCTTACCATAAAGTTCTTCCTTGCATCCAACCTGAAACCATCCTTTAACAGTTTATGGCCATTGCTCCTTGTTCTCCCCTGGGGCGCCTTAGTGAACAGTTTTTCTCCCAGCTCCAGATATTCACCCCATACATACTTAGATGGCTACCACGTCCACCCGCAGCCTTCTTTTCCCCAGCCTGTACAGTCTTTTCTCATAAGGTTTGTCCTCCAGGCCTTTCATCATTCTTGGGGCCCTTCTCTGGACCCTTTCAAGATTCTCCACATCCAAGTCTATTTTAGCACAGGGGTAGGCAACCTCTGGCACATGTGCATGGCATGTGAAGGCATTCTGCTTGGCACTCACGAGAGAGATTGTAAGCATTCTAAGAACTGCCTTTTTGTGAGAACTGCATGCTCCAACACTGAAGTTAGTTCAAGGGTTTACCTAACAAAGTGAAATCTCTGACAATATAATGTTGTTTGCAACCAGCAGCTCCAACCTCCAGGTGGCACTAAAATACCAAAAATAATGATCTACTGTTTTATGTGCAGTACCTTTCACTGCTCCAGCAGATCCTTTCTAACACCAGTTAGCTTCCCATGGACCCTAAATTCCTATAGGCAAACGGCCAAGCATACAAGATTTACAAGAGTAGCCAACTGACTGGCATCCTTCAAAGGATCAGAACACAGTTTTTTTCTTTAACTAACTGCAAAACACAACCTGTTTTCTAGCTGAAATCATCTTGAAAGAGAATAGGTCGTAGAGAAGAGAAGGTGGCACCCCTTGGGTACCCAAAATCCTAGCAGCAAGATAGAGAGAAGACAGAGAGAACTGATTATGAATAAAGAGCCCAGAGAAGAACAGCATGATAGGAAGACAAAGGAAGAAGACAAAAGGATGAAAGTGAAAGAATAAAATAAGAGAAGGATAAGATGAAGGGAAGGACAGAAGAATGGAAGACAACCTCTTGGGTCAATAAAATTGTATTTCTGAATTGCATTATTATACTGCACTGTAGTGGGATATAGGTTTACATCAGTCACGTAAATCAGTCCACAGACTCCTGATAGTAATGTGGCACTTACTGCTTTCAGGAGCGGAATATCTGTTGCACTAGAAATCTTTCCCATCTGTACACAAAGGAACGAAGTTACATGATAGGGATACATCAGTACAGATTCTGTATAGGAAAATAACATTCCTCAATTCTATTGGGATTCTTTGAGCATATTAACAAAACTATATATAAAAATAGAAAACAGTTTTTCAACAGCTTTTGTAAAAATTTAAATTACTAAATGAAAATAAAGCAGTCCCAAACTAGTAACCAGGTAGAGCAAGAAAACAAAGAGAAAAGTTAATGGTCAGTTTTCAATTTAGCATAAAGTTCAAATTAGTTTTTGCATAATTTTTGTTAACATATATTCATATAAAAATTACTTGGAAAAACGTAAGGAGCAGTATGTTGAAGAAGTTAGCAGATGACAATCTATTTAACTTGGTCAACAGGAAAGACTGAAAGGTACATCAGGGAGGACCTAATAAAAATAGATAAACAAGTAATGAGACCAGAAGAAACCAGATGCTGACAAATCCAAGGTAATCCAAACCAAAAAGAATAATCTGAACCACTGACATACTGTAAGGTTCTAAGTCAACTATAAAAAACTCAGGAAAGATCTGGGCAGCACTGTGGAAAACGCAGGGTGCCAGAGCAATCAAAATGAACAAATAACATTCGGAGGCCTAAGTAATCGAATTAGGGGCAATAATGCAAAAAATATTATAAGAAATCGATGGTCCCTCATCACCAGAGATCCAGGTTTTCTGTTCCCCAAGGAATAACAGAGTAAACTGTGGATTTTACCTTTCACCAGAGGCAAATGCGGATTTCTCATTTTACAAGAGAAACCCGCTAATTTTGCCGTTTTGCAATGAGTGTCCTTCAGGCTGGCAGAGTTCCAGCCTGCAGGAAGATGGGAGGAAGCAGGAGGAGGGCACAGAGACAGGGGGCACTACATGTATGGACACGCACATGGCCCCAGGCAGCCTGCAGAGCAGCTCCAGCACGTAAGCGTGGTGAGGGTTCATAGAAGTAGGGTCAGAAGGGACCTTGTAGATCACCAGGTCCGGACCCCTGCCCCAGGCAGGAGAGAAGAACCCGGCTCAAATAACCCCAGCCAGGCAGATGTCAAGCCTCCTCTTAAAGGGGAGAGGGAGCTAGGCAGGGCTGAGGATGCTGCCCAGCCAGGTGAGGCTTGCAGTCACAATGCAGGGCCCCAGCGGGAAGTACGATGGGGCCATAGGTGGCTCATCTGGGGGAGGGGAAGGCCAGCTCCCTGCTGCCACGCACACTCCAAGTGGGGCAGGTGGGATCAGTGCCCCCCAGACCTGTACCCAGGGCAGGCACAGGCTGTGGGCTCAGGCTCCTGCCCTGCTTCCCTCTCCCAGGGCCCCTGGAGCCTGGCGGCAGCAGGGGGGCGCCATGGGCATGTAAATCAGGGCAACCACCCAGGGCCCCATACTTTAGGCGCCCCTGCAGACAGTGCCGTACAGGGCTCTGTGCTCCAGCCACTTGCTTACCCTGCCCCCCACCCCCCGGGTTCTGCAGAAGCTGATACCCCCCTGGGCCTCGCACACCCCTAGGGACGGCTCAGCCCAGCGGGGCTGCACAGGGATCTCTTCACTGCTGTTTGCCCCCCACTGTCCCGACGATGCGCCCCCTGCCCCTGCTTTGAGGGAAGCAGTCCCACACCGCTGCCCTCACTGCAGCCCTGCACGTAGGAGGCATGTCACTGGGGCAGTGCAGGGCAAGCAGCGGTGAGATCCCTACCTGGCTCTGCCAATGCCTGCCATGCCAGGTTGTCCCTGCTGGGCTTCAGAGGCCCCAGGGGAGAGAAGCAGGGCAGCAGGGAACAGCAGAGTCATGCAGAGAAGCTGCTAGCCACTGGCAGCTGGAGGCCCCCTCTGGCAGGGCTGGGGGGTGAGGGGCACTACCAAGGCTGCACAGGCTGTGGGCAGGGCTTTAATTTTAAATCACTGATTTTGGGGTTTTTAGTAAAGAATTTGGTATATTTTAATTAGGGAAAACCAGGATCCCTGCTCATCACAAAAGGATATTAGTAGAAACAGAATGGGGTAAAATGACCAGTGACAAAAATGAGTGGACAAGTAACTCCATCAGAAGACAAGCTGAAAAGACTAGGACTGCTTTATGTAAATGAAATAAAAAGTATAAAATGATTGGTAACCAGTAAAGAGAAATCAAGCACAGCTGATCATAACGTGGCATAACAGAGAACCTTATAGTGCAGACCTGGCTTAAGTTTTGCCTTAGTAATTAGGACACCTCTAAACTGACATGCCTATCACTGGCAATGCCTCTCCCTTGTACACAGATGTAAATACTACCCACAAAACTAGTACTTCTGACTGTATGGCTCATGTCATTACATTACATCAAGGCAGGCAATTATTTCAGGTGGAGGGCCACTTACTGAGTTTTGGCAAGCCATCGAGAGCCGCATGACAGGCAGCCAGGGACAGATAAATATTAATTTTCTAAATTTTTTAGGGGCCCTACGCACCAGAGAGAATGGCCTGGTGGGCCATATCCAGCCCGCAGGCTGCATTTTGCCCACACCTGGCCTACATACATCCCTTTTAAAGTTTTAAGGCTTTCACGCCAATGTATTTACAATTCATTCCATTCTAAAGTTCAGTTCCTGGTGTTAATAATGCAAGTGGAAATATGCCAGAGCTTCAAATCATGGAAAGTCTATGTATTCTGCACCTCTGCTCCAGACCCAAATAAATCAATGACAAAACTTCTGACTTAAACAGTACAAGCTCTTTATAAATCAATCCTTCCAAATACCTTTCCTCCAGCAAATTTGAAATTGACATGCAAAATCCTAGCTAACTGCACGGTGCTGTGAAGTTTCGCTGTGACAGAATGAAGGCATATGAAATTTCTATTGCTGCTAGGAAGGGCTAGCAGGGAGAGGTAAAAGAAATACTAATAGCAGTAAGTACAGTTGCTTAAGCACCCAATTAGCAAACAATGACATAAATTTCAAGCACTTTGTGCTGAACATTTCAACAATAGAAGAACATGGACTATTTATCCCATTTGCCTTTAAAGCCTAGCGAACTTTGTCAGTGTCATGACAAATGAACAAGTGGTAACAGTTTCAGTATGAAAGAACACATCATATTTATTATCAGTAAAAATGTCAAACTATAGACAATTGATCTTTCCTCTAATGGCAAACCTAATGTTTGTACAGACCCTGTAAGCTATCACATATAGTGGCAAATAAATATTGTGAAGTGTCACAAGAAAAAAGCTATGCAGTCTTTTCTGCAAGAGATAAAGGGTAAAAAAAAAACAAACAAACCAGTAACTTGACACTAACAGCAATCAACTTGAAACAGGAACAGCTTCCAAAACTAAAGCATAGGAAGCCACCTCAACTAGACTGTACAAGGATTCTCTAAGATAGGGCTGTCCAAATTGCAGCATGTGAGCAGTTAACTTGTGGCCTGCAGACTCCTGTATGGGCACCCCTCCCCTTCACCCCATTACTCCCGCTCCTACTAGGATCTCCAGGCTCCCACTGCCTTCTCCAACTTCTGCTTACTTCCCCTTGGCCCTGGACAGCCCATAGCAGCTCAGAAGTTGAGAAAGCTGGAGAACTTGAACATAAAATGGAAATTCTGTACATCTGTCAGTACAACAGTGATTCAAGGTAAAGGGAAACCCTTAAATCAAAGTTCGAACTCACGGTTATATTACAACTATATGCTGAATAGGAAATACTTTCCATTGTTTTTCCAGTTGCTTGCATCCTAATGAGGGGACTGTCCACACTTACATATGTAATTAGGCACCTATAGGTAGGGTCTGTCAAAAGAAACTAACTTCCTGTCTACACAAGGATGTTGTATCAAAGTATAGGTAGTATACCTGAAAATGTTATGCATATACATTCAACTTTTCTAATCCAGATTACTTGGCATTTTAAAATTTCAGGACATTACTCCACTCTGGTGACTGCTCACACTGAGTCACATGAATTAATTCCTAATTACTACCTAAACTACACAGCTTTACACTTAGATTAACTTTTCTTTGCATCTGTATTTCCCCAGCAGGTTTGGGGTCACCTTTAACCATCTTGTATTGTATTAAAACACAACTGTACGAAGGGATTTAAGTTTTTTTTCCTAGATCCCAGCTGTCCAGTGTCATGATGGGTAGGGCAGGAGCTTCGCTCTACCTGCTTGGCATATACACCCCCAACCTCTCCCACCCCAAAACCAGAACTCTAAAAAAATGGAATCCACGTTGTAGTGAGAATTTTAATTGCCTGTTGTATCAAATCCCACCCATATATTTTAGCCAGCCACACTTACTGTCCACATATCCCTTCCCAGGCTTCTTCAAATTTCTATCTCACTCTCATGCTCTGACCGTGGCCCTCTTCATTCCTCTCACTCAAGATGCTGGCACCACTGAGCTAAGAAAACAAAACAGAACAAAACAAATTGCACTTCTTGATAAGCATATTTATTATGGCAGCAGATACAGAAAGAAAAATTATTTTAAAAGGTACAGGAATACTGCCTAAATAATTCACTAGCTTTTATTCACGTTGAGTGTTCATGAGGTAAGTGACCCGAATCAGGCTAGACACATTTATAACATTTATCTTTACAGCAATTACTGCATCATTTCATTAATTTTGCAATATACTTTATGCTTATCTGTAGGTGCCCAAAGAAAAAGAAAAACAGCAATATTGTTCTCTTTTGGCACAACACCGCAAAACAAAATGGCTCTCAGAACTTTTCATACGGTTACTGTTTCCTGCCTCAATTGGGGTTCAAATTCTTGCTGAACAGAAATGTTGCATGTCTTCCTGGTTAAACACAGTCTTTTAAAAGATTTTTCCATGTCCTCTGGATACTCATCTTACAATAAATTCCTTTAGCGAAAGGACAGCCTGAAGGGGCTCCAGGTTTGAGGCTGTGGCTCATCACCCCCACACAGGCACTGGTTTCCCCAGGTGGTCATTGTGGATTTTTTTTCAGTAGATTGGGGGCATGAATATTTTCTGCAAGCTCCCACATGCGATCTACTAAGTTGTACAACTTTCCCCACTTCCACTTTGAATCTCCACTAAAATTTTCTGGACTAGGTACTCCTTCTGTCCCTAGATTGTTATGGAAGGGGAGGAGGTTGGTTACAGTGTGGAAAAGAATTGACACTTACTCAAGCTGCATACAGAGATGTGGAATATCAGGTGGATCTCCAGTGTCCAAGGGAGTTGCATCTCAAAGTCTACTAGGTTGATTTGACCGATTATGAGTATGTGGCCGTTAAAGTGGTGGTCTAGCTTTGGTGAGGCCAGCCTGTGTGGAGGCGTTTGGCTGACAACCATACTTAGTAGGTAGGTCCTGACTGCTTATGTAGGTCGCTTGCCTTTTCCAAGTGTTGCTTTGATTCCTCCAGGATCTTATCAATATGTTGCACAGTGGTCCTCAACCAGGGGTATGCAACCCCTTGGGGGCTCACCACAGGTTTCACGGGAACTGTGGGGGACGCAGACCTAGCGCGATTGTGATCTCTGAGGTCAGCTAGGGCAGCCAACACCTGGGCCGAGCCTGCTGCTGCTGCCACCACTACTACCCGGTTTGCAGAAAAACATGGATTTTCTTTTTTAAAGGAAAAAATCTGGGAAACAATGGGTTTCTCTTGGCAGGCTAGCAGCATTTCAGCTTGCAAAGGGCTGTTTGGGACTGCAGGGAGCAGGAGGAGGCCAAGGGGGATGCTACATGCATGTGTGGGGAGGTAGTGTAGAGAACCTGAGGGGAGTGGCAACATCAGACCATGCCTTCTCTCTCCCCCCCCTGCCTCCCCCAGCAGGTTAGGAGTCAGGGGCACCAGCAGGGTCAGGGGGCTGCAGGTCAGGAGTGAGGGAGGCTTAGAGTCCAAAATATTTGAAAACCCACTGGTGTAGCCAATCCATAGGCATGGGGCCGAGCAAATGTGTGAATAAGGTGGGGTGCAAACAGGGGTGGAACCCATAGTTTGTGAAGAACAGGCCTTGCCTGGCTAAGACATGCTCAAAAAGTTACTGTAGGATAATTCTGAGACCATTAAGAGAACCTGTTATTTTGTTTGAAACCGAGGTGACAACAGAGGTACTGCTTCAGGACTAGCTGGTCTCATCTGTCTGGCCATTTGTCTGGGAATGGCAGGCCAATGTGAGATGGGCATATATTCCAAGAAGTCCAAAGCCCCGGAACCAGAAAATGAACTGGGACCCACGGTCAGACACGATGCAAGCTGAGAGGCGGTTGAAGGCCAACTGTATGGTTCAACCACAGCCATGCTATATCCTGTGCTGATGGATGGTCCATGCAATGGTAAAAGTGGTAAATGGGTCTGTGGCAGAAAGCCACCTTGGTTTCTCCCCAAAAATCTCTGTGCTGTGACACTGTGATTTAAATCTCTGTGCTGTGACCATTCAATTAGGATGGGCCCAGCACACAGGGGACCACACCCTCAGCCTGTCTCTTTAGGGAACTTGAACTGGCTGCATTCCTGAGGGAGGGGGAAACCTGCTCCCTCTGCTTACGTGACTTGCATCACTTACCTGGGTAAGGGGTTTCTACCTGGGGAGCTGGAATCTGCCCGGT